TATTATTGGCAAAATATATATCTTTTATAATTTTATACTGTACAATATATGTTTTTGCTACATTATTTTTCTACTGTGTAATGCAGATGAAAAGTAACAACATAGATTTATTTTGGGAATAAAATGCTTTCATTTTAATAACATCCGAGAAAATATTGTAAGGCATATGAAAAATAGTATGCAACAATGTAGCATTAATAATCCTGCATCTTTAATACATCCTTTATGCATACAAGATGCACACTGATTTCAGTTAAAAGTGTGTAAAAGTGGCATGCAAGTAGGGCAAGAGTGGCCCCTACATAAATATAGACATAGCCATTTGTTGAGAAATGTAAGTGTTCAAAACGTAACCAAGAACACTTACCACGTATTGAAAGCTAGAGGCCAGCTACTTTTGGTTCTTAAATAGTTCTCATTTTAAATCCTTACAGTTTTCAAACAGGAAGCATCAGTGTATTTCCAAAACCACTCTAAATTCATTAGAAACATTTTTTTTACAATTTTCTGCACACCTTTTACACACATCAAAAGAAACAAAGGAAAGTTTCATATGTAACTATGACTCCCCAAAACTCACTGCTGCTCACTTATTTATACATTTTTTGCATGGTAAGTGGGAGTTACAGCCCTTAGTCAAGATTATCTGCTGAGATATTTCCTAGTCTTCTCATAATGTCCCTCGATTATATGAAGCATTTGGGATTAAATCATCCATAAGCAGAGATAGCTGCTATAAGAGGATGTATTTCATTTGAGAATGTTTTAAGAAAAGAAGAAACCTTTCAAAAGTAATTTTTGAATGCTGTAGCTCTCTGTCTGTCCATGTAAGCCAATGTTACTATTTTGACTAACTTGACATTTAAGTGAACAACATACAGTTATCCTCGTTGTCTGACAGCTGTGGTATTGACAGTGAGCATGATTGTCATTTAAAAGAGCGGACTGTTTTCTGACCTACAGACACAGCTTGAGTAAGTAACTTAGTATGAACAATATTTAAAGGTATATGGAGCTAATAAAGCAAATTTTATTACATAATTTCCTATAATGTTTTCCATTCATATAGTTATTCAAATATGAGTTTTATGTAATTAAAAAGAAAATGACATGCACTATTGTCATGAAAGACAAAGGCAGAAATAGGAAAGAAATAAGGGGTACATTCCCATTTATTTGAAATATTTTATATATATTTTTTGATGACATAGGAGTTCAAGAGAATGTATATTCTTACCCAGTAAATGCCTAAGTATCCACAGGAGAAGTCAAGCTTCAACAAAGTTTGAATTTACAAACCAGCTGCACTTAAACATCAAGTATCTGCATCTACTATCTTTCAGACTTAGAGCTGGATGTTATAACAAGTTGCACACAAAGATAATTCCCCTGCAGTTTGATTTGTTCCCTATGATGAACGACTTATTAAATTAACCTTGCTTCCTAATAAATTGTGAACCTATTCAAAGAAAACTTCACTAATGTGGAAGAAATGAAAGGGTGACAAGAGCATTTTGGAAACAGTTTAAAATCTAAAGGGAAGGTATATTTTAACAATTTATGTATTTAGCTTTGCTGCAAGATTAGCAGTAATAGTAATAAATTTGATCACTATTTATTGAAAAGTATTTTTCTCTTTAAAGACTGCTTGTCTTTTGTAGAGAAGAGGTAGTATAAATATCAATATATAGGGCAAATTCTATAGTAGAATTATATTGTTTTTATTCTTAGCAAATACCAAAATAAAATTGTATAACTAAGAAAATATACTAGCATGCAAAATAAGGTTGCCTAGCAATATTCTTAACTGACATCCTGGGTCTCAACAACATTTTATGATATGTTCATTCAAAGAGTTGAAATTTGCAAACCAACTACTGGCATGATTTTCGTCTCTCCCTCCCTTTCACTGCCCTAGCTCTTATTATGAATTTTAAGGCCCCCACACAACAGACAAGTTCAAGTATGCAGGTATGAAAAGAGGTTAACATTCCAAAAATACATTTTGCAAACAACAATAATAAATAAAGTAACTGACAAATTATTTCAAGGGAACAAATAATTTGCTCAGAATTTGTTTTATATTTAAAAAATTCATTTCCTTTAGGACTAAGTGCAATGAAGTATCATCACATAATTAAGACTCTCTTATTAGGAAAGACTATCAGTCTAAATTAATAATTTTAATTTTCTTTCCAATGGAACTGTAAAAAGATAAGAGAGAATCATTAGTCATTTATAAACATTGCTAAGCGTTCCCTTAAATATTGGAGTAAACAAGATCACATTGTTGAGTATAATATTGAAGTCATATTATAGCCTTGAGAATTAACATCAGTATTGACAAGTTGCATTCCTTTTTTACCAGGACTACATTTCCACATCGTCACATGAGTCTACGTGGTTACATGTTCAATGACTGAAATGACAGAATATGTAACTTACATATTCTGAAACTACATATACCAAAATCACAGAATATGTGGTTTATACTACAAGTTAAAACAGCCTCAAAATATTATACGACTTCTTTCTCCTGCTTATCATTTTCTATTTTCAAATGAAATCAGTTAAAAACAAAGTACTTGTAGAATATGTATTTTCCAAAGGTGCTTGATATGCTTGGCAAAAATAAAACTTTTCATTTAGCATATATCTGTATTTTAGTATCATTTACACAATAAAGTCTAAGGCTTAAAAAAAAGGAAAATGCATCTCTTATTCATTTGGAGAAGATAAACATTACAAAAGGAATGGGGGAAATATGCCATATCAAAGTAAAATTTTAAATATATCCATCAAGAAAATATACATTATATCCTTTCCAAGATTGTTAGCTTTTGAGTAAGAATGCAAAGCAAAACACATATCGACACTTTATGGTAAATGACATATTGGTTTGTGCAGATTTTAAATGGACCTCTCTCTTTATCAGCATGACATGGAAGACTTAGAAACAGGGCTTTGAGAGGCCTTTAAAAACAAGTGATTTTTAAAAGTTGAAAAAATATGAAAATCTTGCTGACTAGGAAATATATGTAAATACTGTTAAAGCTACCTGCCATAAAATGTAAATATTTTAAAGTAGTTAAATGACCGGGTTGCTAATGCTACTACAGAAAAAGCTGAACAGCTGTCTAGTCTAAATTCAGACACCTTGGTGCACTCTTTGCAATTAAATACTGTAATGCGCACAAACAAGAAACCAGTAAAGCATCTAGAAAAATGTTTTGGCTAATGTTTTCTTTCTCATGCAAGTATGTGCTGTACATGTAATAAGTATATTTTTGCTTACTGGAAAATGCTCTTCTGTGCTCTAACAAAGTATTCAGTAATGGCAGGTTATATGTTTATTAAAGTGCATAATGGATACAGCTCTTTTAAATGTCTTAACTGAAAGTTCTGTAAGCTTCACTAGATGACAAAAGAACTTCATAAGCCAGTAACACATATTAACTTTTAGAATTTACTGAGCCCATATTTTTAGTTGTATCAAATATTTGAGATAACTTACATAATTATAGGCATCTTCATTATCAGCTAAACATAATGGAATATGCACAGTGAACATGAGGGGAGGGAATGTGGGAAGTCATAATGGGGTTTAACATATGTATAATTAATCAAGAATATGAAACTTATTTTCATGGCCAGGAAATTTATTTAACTGGTGCATGCTTCGAGAGCCTAAATATTGAAAGGCTTGGTGGAGGGAAAAAGATAATAGAAAATGAATTATTATTGTTTCCAAAAAATAGGTTTTATGACATGTACCAGTACAAAAGGATTTTTATGCATGGTCCAACTGGGGCTTTAGAAAAATGCATGCATTGTAGACTTTTAGAAACAAGAGCCTTTTCCTAAAGACATTTGTGTATTGTATAAAATGGTCAATTTCAACAATTTCTTGGATCATAGTGAATCTAAGTCTTCCTTAAAAATATAAGATAGAAGGTCACCAATTCCAAAATTATAGCCACTGGAAAAACTGTGAAGACTTAATATGTGAAGAGGAATGTTGATTAGAAATAAGGAAGCTCAATCTCCAAATTCTTTATAATCCTTTGCAATAAAAATACTATAAGTTTAGTGAACAAATATGTTCTGAATGAGTTTCTTTTCATTGCAAGCTTTTACATTCATCACTTGTTTTCACATTTTCAATTGTTTGGTACAAACACATCTTTCAATATCAAAATTGAATGTGTCTACATAAAACTAACATCCTTAGAATAATTATAAAGAATTTGGTGAAGGGCTAGAGCATTCAGATATTCAAAGACAGAGGTTGAGTGAGGCAATGAAAAATATTCAGTTGTGCCTAGTGGGAAATACTGAACCCGTGTTTGTGAAGTGGATGGAAAAATTCCCACCTGGAGGTGTTTAGCTTTGCACTCAGGAGGATGTGTGCCCATCCTTACTCCCTGACTTCAGATCCAGGATGTATGTAGTTGTGCTCAGATTTATTAAAGGGGAAACACCCATTTTCCATTTCACATAACCTGCTATGATTGGGCTTCCCTTTTCTCTCTCACTGCAAAAGAAATTTTGAGATTTTTTTCCCAACTTCAAATGAAATAACAGTAGTGACTAAACGAAAAGCAAAACACTTTGAAACAACAGCTGTGCCAGGAAAGAAATAAAAATATTAAAATATGAGAAGATTGTATACTTTCCGTATTAATTTGAGATTCTTTTGGCACTATCAATACATTTGGTAAGTTTGAAAAGCCATTTTGGAAACATTAACGTATATTAAAATGTGTATACATTCCAACTTTAAGTGTAAATTTAGCTTCCAGCAAAAAAATACCATAGCTGGTTTTGGCTTCTATTGGTATTTTGATATCCTCATTAATCAGTTATTTTTTCAGATTTTTTTAATGGATCGCCACATGCTCAAGTAGACTTTCTAGTCGATTCACCCAAATTCCAACAGGAATTGGTTTATAAATTGGTTCCAACTGGAACTGGTCATTTGGAATTTCCAGCATGGGAAATTATTTTATATGTGCCTTGATAAGTACCCTAACTTACAAATTGATGTGTCTAAATCTAATGAAGAAAACAAAGGTACTGTTATGTAAATGTTGCACTTAAAAATATCTATATGATTGGGCATCTAATATCCATCTAGACTTAAGGGCATGATGTACTTTTTTTTCTTTTCTTTTTTTTTTTTGCCCCTTATTTAGCATCAAATGACAGCAGCCCATAAACACAGTAAATACTGTGCTGTACTTGCCAAGTTAAGATGACTGGTTTATCCTAGCAGTGCTATGGCAAATTGTCAACAGATGAATTTTTGTTTGTTTGTTTGCTTCTTGCAGACTCAAAGCCTATGTCGGGAGTCATGGCTATAGCCCCCCGGTGATCCTCGGTTCCTGTGGGGTTTGTAACTGTCCTGGTATGAGTCAGGGTAATCTTCTTCCACAAGAGGGTAATGATCTCGGCTATGCTGGGAACTGGAAGACAAGCGGTTCCTGCTCTTCCGAGCCCTTTCGTTGTGATAATTTTCATCAGAGGTCATTAGACTTCGTCTTTCAATTGGAGAGTTCTCTGTGGAATGGTTGCTGTGCCTCACGCGCTGACTCTAAAAATATCAGATAGTTCATTGGTTAAATAATGTCAGCTTCATTCATCTAGAACACGTCAATGCATGTACAAAGAGTAGGATCTGTACAATAAGATGCCGGATATCTGACTTAATGAAGAATTCTGATGCACAAATGATCTGCTCAACATATCTGATTTTATTTATTTGGGACATATCATGCAAAGATGTCAAAGTGTTGATAGTCTATGAATTTAATTACATAATGCTGCATGATTATGCTTCCTCTTAAAATACAGAATTGAAAGTTAACTGTTGAATGGAACTCAATATATTTAGGGAGGCCTAACAACTCCAATTCTGTTGTAAACATGAGGATTATTCTACTATTCAGAAATAAAGTTCAGAATAGCATGATTTGTGCTCATAAAATAATGCATTTGTTTCCGTGCCCTACATAAAGGTAATATTCTTTCTGAAGGACTATACAATTACGTAGCCAACTAATTGATACATTTACAAATCTTGCTTCCTCAACTGAAATGTCATGTAAAACTATCTTCAGATAAAAACTAAATTCCTCTAACATCATTAATTGAAATTATCTTCAGACATTTATTTAATGGCTCAGAAAATGTTATTCAACATTTTTCTTCAAATCATAGGAAAACACGTATCATAGCTGTGTCTGCCTGCTTGGAGGGGTCACCTCAGTTAAGAAACAGGATCGTGATAAAACCAAAGATCCAGATACGTTTCCTCTAAAAGACACTCACCTTCACACAGAAGGAAACTCACGCAACAGTCACAGCCTGTGCCTTAATCTCAGCCAGGGGTCTAGCAATTAACGGCCATGGTTACTAGGAGAAATAGGCCACAGGATGAAGGGCACCGCATTAACTCAGGGGAAACTGGGAGAACCACTCTAGGTGGATTTCTTAGAGATGACGAATCAAGAGTGTTGTCTTTATAGATAAAGTGCAACATTTCATTTCTATGTACATTACAGAAGCACATTGCTTCATGCATCCACTTCTCATTTCACAATGTACAATTTGGAGCCAACCCAAATGAGTCAGTGGAAATGCCACACTCAGATCAGCACACAGGCAGTGAAACAAGGCAAGAAATAGTCCTGGTGCATACATATATACTGTATACAGAATATATGCATATTTTACAGTAGTACATTTCCCATGTGCATTTCCAGCCTCAAAAGCTATTCATTTGTATGGCAGTTTTTCTGCTTACAAAGATGCAATTTTGTAGCAAAGCAATACCATTATAATAGCACTTCAGAGAGAGCCATTTATCTCAGAGTTAACGCAACACGATCTTCAATTATGACTGTCATTATAACCCATTATTACAAAACTAGTCACGATGCAAGAGGGCTCAATTGACTACTACCTGTTCCTCAGTCAGCTGGGGCTTTGGCCACATTCCAGCAGCTGCTTGATAAATGGTAAATAATAACTGATGTAGAAAGGCAGGATTCACTTTGTATCATTGCCTCTGGCTCCCACTTCTAGCTCTGTGTGCAGCACCAGGACACGGGGGAGAGAACTTGTGCTCATCCCCAGCTTCCTTCAAGGACACTTGTCATAGCCACTGACCAAGGTGGGCCCCCACCCCCCAAGAAAACTCAGGGATCGGTCCCTGTTTCCGAACCGAGCAGCTCTACTTGTGTGCACGATCTGTAACGACCGGGCAAGCCAGAGGAGCCCGGAGCCCATGGCGCAGGATTCGCTAAGAGCAGTCAAAAGGTCCCTCTGTCCCCAAATCTTTGACTTAGCTTGTCACTACTGAACAGTCCTTAAGAAGTGACACGGAGAAATAACGAACAGCTGCACGGAGTTTCCTGGCAGAGTCTGGGCATAGAGGGATTAAGTTACCTAAGGGAAGGCCATTATAAATGAACAGAGAACAAAGTTCTAGAGAGAGGGCTCTAGAGAGGGCCACTTTGTCTAGGATAGATCATGATTAAATAATAGTTGAGATTTTTTTTTAATGTATAATGCACACACATGGTTCCCTCTTCAGATTAAGGACAATCTCAGTCTCCATCCCAATCAAGTTCCCTATAGAATCTTAATCAAAGTCGGGTTGTAAAAGCACGAGTGGCAAGTGGCAATACCTGTAACCCAGAAATTGCTGTGGGATATGGTGAGAGAGCTGTGGAGCCCAAATTCCTTCCAAGCAGCGGGGTCATAGGGGTGCTACTGGTTGTGTGGGTAGCGCGCCAGTATGCCTCCAGGTACTCGCCCAGGTGTTCGCACGCATCCTCCAGCTGGTTTTCATCCAGTATAACATCAAACATTTCCTGCAAGAAGAATCCATTTCATTTATACGTCACGCTTTAGGCAATGAAACCTAAAACTCTACTCCACGAAGATCACAGCATTCCTAGTACCCAGCAGCAAATATCAGATCTGAGGGGCGGTGCTGGCAGTTTCTAAAGTTAAAGTCGAGTGAAGAACTGCACAGGTAACCAGGGGCAAACTTGGACACTGACATGAAAATGGGAGTGCTCACTAAATATTTAGCGTTTTCATTATTTAGAAGAAAAAGATGAGGTAAGCATAAAGGGGTTATAAGTAGAATATAGTGAAAAGATAATGTATTCCCATCTGTATCCATATCTTACTATAGAGTTGAATTAAACTTAGTTCAGAATATGAAAGAAGCAATTAATGGTACAGAAAGAGGAGTTCTAAAAATGTTTTGCACAATGGCCATGTCTTTGGAATTAAACATTTCATCTCCCCAAGTAACTATGTTGAAGGGAATAACATTTACTTAGATAATTTTCAGAATGTTGGTGAAAATGATGTTATCCATCTCATGATAAAACAATATGAAAAGAAGATTTAGGATTAATACAAAAAAATCACATTACAGTGACTTCTGCTAACAGAAGATCATTGTGTGAAATCTGTGAAATTGTTTTTAAAAAGACCAGAACGAGGAATATTTCATTGTGGGAGGGGAGGGATGTCACACAAGAAGTATGTGGTGTCCATGCTTCAGGCAGTAACAACTTCATCTGGCCTATAATCAAGAAGCATTCTTCTTCCCCAAGGAGCAGAGTGGCCCCTCTGTCACTGCATGTGATCGGGAACACAGACAGAATATACCCAGGACACAGGTTCTCTGGAGGGACAGTCACAAAACCATGGCAGAGGGAAAGGCCACTCCATAGTTAAGTGAAAGCATACCCCAGCCATCGACAGCTTGATCTGCACCTTCTCTCTCCCACCACCCACTTGCTTTTATTAGCTCTTTTTGCCAAAACAAGAACCTCTCAGAGAATGAATCAAACAGGGTTACTGCCATCAGCACTAATACTGTGGCTGGATTGCAGGTTAATGGCAACTGGATGACTTTGGGTTTGTGGTGAGTCAACTGACTCACTCATTAGTGTGAGGGCTTCTAGAAGCAGAAGTCACCATGGAAACCATCTCTCTCCCAACACTTACTATTTGAATGTTTTCATCATATTATTCTTTACTGAATATTTTGACCCTGAATAAGATGACTTCAATCCCAATCAACTGGTGTTTGAGAAGATTTAGCCAATTTAACTCACACGGAAACCTTTCCCTCCAAGAATATTTATTAGTAGATTTCAGATGGTTTTCTGCATGTTTTATTAATTTATCAAATATTTACTCAGTACTATTTTGTGCTAGGCATTGTGGGTATCCAGTGGCAAAGAAAGCAGATAATATCCTTATGCTCAAGAGACATACAGTCTGGTGGGAGAGACAAGTATTAAAGTCCTTGATAGTCTATGTCCCTCTGGGGCCTTAAGTTGGACCATTAAAGAAGACTGAGTCAGTTAATGTTTGGGAGCTCCAGCTTAAAAGTCTTTGGATTTGGGAAGGAGGCCCGAGGAGAGGGCGTGTGAAAAAGTTGGACCTTATGAGGGAGGGGAAATTATGGAGGAAGCCAAAAGAATTCCTATCTGTAAAAGTAAGAGGAACAAAACAGATAAAGAGAAACAAAGACACAATGGAAGAAAGAAACCATATGGCCCATGAGAGACTGGGAAACAGCTAGTTGCTATAGTTGCATGAATGTATATCCCTTCAATAAGTCACCTTTTCCACGAAAGTAACTTAAGAGAGTTTCTGTCTCTTGCAATTAAAAGCCCCTCCCCCATTAATGTAAAGTCTCAACAGTTACTTTACAAATACAGAATCTGAGAAGTGTCCATAATGCTCTGATAGAAACGGTGCATTCTCCGATAGCACTGCAGTGCGACCTTGATTGGACAAGAACCTCCCTACCCCACAGAGCACACACAGACTCTGACTGAGACAGATGACACAGGAAGAAGAGGAAACTGGCCACCACGAGGACAAAGGACCACTCCGTCAGCCACTCCAGGCTAAAGCTGGCAGCAAATTCTAGACTGTATGTTGTTTGGTGTCAGCTATTCATATACTTTTATTTATGTCAACTGTGTAATTCAAATACATAGGCCTCACTCTATAATGTGGGTTTTCCCCAATGTGTAGTCTCAATAAGTCATTTTCTTGCTTTCATAAAGTCCCAAGTTTTAAAGAACCCTCCAGGGACACCTGAACTGGGGCCCTGACTATCACAGCCAGGATTGCAAAGCCCAGAGAGGGCAAAGGCAGCACCTATTGCAGAATGTTGTTTGAATGATGCTTATGTCTACTTGACTGTCCCACATGTTACATCGTCATGGCTGCAGGTACAATTAACCATACACTTAATTGCAAGTCATTTTAATAAAGTGCTTCTCTTTGCTAATAGATAGAATTTGTCTATATCAGCACATGGCTGTTTGTTTGAGACCATCATTTCTAGGAAACTATGTATTTGCATTGCTAAAAAAGACAGGTATAGGATGCAAGATGAATTGAAACTGCTTTCAGGTTTTCAAAAGCACAGAGGAAAGCAAATTTCAGCTTCTGAATGAAATACTGACAACGTGACTTACTTTCAACAAAGAAGAATTTTACAGGCTGTATATCTATGACAATTTTCCTTTTGAACTGTTTAGGAAAATGATTAGACCAGTGTTAGAAAGTGAGAATAATAGGAAGAAATTTTTAAATTATACATGAAATTCAAAGAGAAGCAGCCCAATGAATTATGCAAACCAGCTTTGTCTATTTTTTCATAAATGTAAAGGTTCAAGTCTAGTTAGCTTCTTACTGTGCAGTAGTGAGGCCTCCAGCATGGGATACGGATTCAGAGGGCTGCCTAATCAGCAGAAGAGAGTGTGAGTAATGGGACAGTCACAGGCCATGAATAGTTACCCACTCTGTGATGTCATGCCATCGGTGACTGCCTGAGATAAGGGTAATGCTGAGCTGTTTCAAAGCACTACTGCAGCAAACACCTTTGACATCCAATGACAGTGATACTGTTGTAATGAAACTAATCCTATATAATAAAAGGCTAATATGCAAATCGACCAAACAGTGGAACAACCGGTCACTATGATGTGCACTGACCACCAGGGGGCAGACACTCAATGCAGGAGCTGCCCCCTGGTGGTCAGTGCACTCCCACAGGGGGAGTGCCGCTCAGCCAGAAGCCCTGAGCTGGGCTCACGGCTGGTGAGTGCAGTGGTGGTGGCGGGAGCCTCTTCTGCCTCTGCTGCAGTGCTAAGGGCCTAAGCTGTCAGTCGGACATCCCCCGAGGGCTCCTGGACTGTGAGAGGGCACAAGCCAGCCTGAGGAACGCCACCCCCCACCCTGAGTGCATGAATTTCGTGCACCAGGCCTCTAGTTATTAGTAACAGGGAAGGCCAAATATTACAGGCATGTCATTTAGACAGCTTCATCAGGAGGTTAAAGCTTTATTTACACTTTCCAGGGAGCCACTAATCTATTCCCGGCAGATCGCTGGGGGAAGGGACTGGACAGGGGGAAGACAGACGCATGCCCAGTAAAGTTGCGGGGGTGAGCAAAGCTGCTTGCTGTCAGTCACACCTGAGAATAGGTCATGGTCCAGAATGGGTGTGGCTACTGTAAGGGTGTGAAATTTGGGATATTTAATCCCCTAAACAAAGGAGTTTTCTCTTTTGTTGGTCTTGTGTTCTCAGTTGACTCCTGGCTTGTGGGGCTCTGACATTCTCCCGTGTGGGCCACGGCCATGTGGATCCCCACTCACAATGGACTAATGAATGTAACTAGCCTGATGCTGAACTGGACCCGACTGCAACACAGAATGGAAACTCTGGACACTTTCCAGCTCTCTACTCATAGAGCATCACAAACCTTCCTAGGGAGGGCGCCTGAAGTAGGGCAGCCAACCATCTTATTTGCTCAGAACTGAGTGATCCTTGGGACTATCAATGCCCAAAGCTGGAAAATCTGGGAAGAACTGAGATGGTGGGTTATCCAAGTTTTTACAGAAGACAGAGCACTTTTTAGGTCCTACATTGAGGATTAGAGCAGGTTCCACTTATTTCTTTCACATTCTTTTGGGAGGGAAGATATAGAGAGGGACTGGGCAAGTCTTTCCTTATAACTATGAAGCACATATTTTCTAGCATAAAGGGGAGAATCTCACTAAGACTAACATAATTTCTAATATGTTTTATCTAGGAAATTGCTACTGAACATTTTAAATAAAAAGTTTATGAAACTTAGGAGTTATTTTTGCAGTTGAATTGTAACTTAAAAAAAAAGTTGGTGCCTTACTGAAAATTAGCTATTTAGGAGGTTAAATATATGCAAACTCTTCCATTATCTAAGCATTGCTATATATCTATTTATTGTACATACATAAAACCGCATGTGGGACAACTTTCCTATTTCTAAGTGGAGAAAGAAAGAATAGAGGTGAGAATACATTTATTTCCTTGCTATTGAAATACTATATATATATATCCCACGTTCAAAGGCTGTTAAATCGCATTGTTTACCCATATCTTCAGGAAAAAAAAATCACTTCTACTGTCCTGGTAAACAACCTGCTTCCCTATTTATAATGATCTGGCCCTCTAGCAACTTCAGCCTGAAATTATAGCTAATTTGCCTACAAATGTCAGGTGCTCATAATAATCTGGACACTCAGTGTATAAAGATCCTGAAACTGCCAAATACCATTCAGTAAAATGAAATGGGTGAATGGCCAACATGTAATGCTGATTACAAAATAGCCAACCAGTGTTTCTTTCATATCAAAACTACATTCTTTTTTTAAAATATATTTTTATTGATTTCAGAGAAGAAGGGAGAGGGGAGAGAGATAGAAACATCAATGATGAGAGAGAATCATTGATTGGCTGCCTCCTGCATGCCCCCCACTGAGGATCAAGCCTACAACCCAGGCATG